GCAACACATTAATTCAGCAATATCTCATGCACTTTAAAGTTTACTTGGATTAGTAAATTAGAACAGTGGAGCAAACTATTCATCTGACTTTCAGGATGTTAATTCTTTAATTGCATTAAATAAAAACTAGTGCAACCCATGAACTTATATTTGCATCCCAAAAAGTATTATCAATCAGTCACTTAATAGTTTCATAAGTGTGGGCAAATTAACTTGTCTAGTTTGTAAAAATGGAGCTCCTACCTCACCAGGTGATTGTTCACATGAACATGTGTGAAGCACATAGAAACACAGGAAGTCTCTGATCCCAGGTATCCTGAGCACCAAGATCTGCTAACTTATTCTAGGGCAGTAGAACAATAATCTGGCATTTTCCCAAATTTTACTGTTAGCTCTGTTGAAGACCTCTGGGGCTCTCTCAGCTCTCACTGCTATACTTAACTGCAACCATCTCAGAGACACGTAACAGGTCTGTTGACTTCAAACACCAAGCCCTTAGCCATTTACTGTCACTATACTATCTTGGCATAGCTTAAAAGTCTCTAGCGAAATATGACGCAGAGCCCTTTTCAGGGAAATGCACATTTATTATAGGACTAGAGTTTCTGCCAGATATTCATCTACTCTGTAAGCTGGGTTAGACAAGATAGAAACCACAAGTATGTCTTCCCTTTAGGCCTAGAGCAAAGTCAGGGCATCTTTTCTCATAAGCTCGGGGCTTTGGGAGTAAAGTCACTGCCCAAAGAGAAAACAAACCCTCTTAAAGCTCTGCAGGGAACTTTATGAGAGGGAAGATGACTCAGCACAGAAGAAAGAGTGTGTTGATACCTTTGTTCCTCCAGAGTGATGGCCTCATTGTGTCCCTGTGTTCCTGACATCTTTGATGTGTCCTTTAATGCTGGCCAGTGCAAGATGTCAGATTATGGGGGTAGGGAGATGGGGTGCATGCTGTGGTCAACATATGCTTTCAAGGCTCCATCGACTTTCAACTCCCTCAGCACATGTTCATCCTTTCCTTTTATGAAGTCTTTTTTTGGGGGGGACAGAGTCCTCTTTGTTGCCCAGGCTGGAGTGCAGTGGCATGATCTCGGCTTGCTGCAATTTCCGCCTCCTGGGTTCAAGCAATTCTCCTGTCTCAGCCTCTCATGTAGCTGGAATTATAGGCACCTGCCACCATGCCTGGCTAATTTTTGTATTTTTAGTAGAGACAGGATTTCACCATGTTGGTCAGGTGGCTCTCGAACTCCTGACTTCAGGTGATTCACCTGCCTCGGCCTCCCAAAGTGCTGAGATTACAGGCATGAGCCACTGTGCCTGGCCCCTCCAACGAAGCCTTGTAACAAAACTATTCTTATCTTCAGCTCTCATTATTTTTATGGGAAGAGCTTTTCTCCTTAGGTTGATTACAGACTCTTTGAGGACAGGATGCACAGGTTAGAAGGAGACTGTGAAGGCAACAAATACTTGCTAAATGTTTGTCACTGATAAGACAAGAAGGGAAAAGTATTTTGATAAAAGAGGTAGCTCCTACCTGGTGTAGGAGTGTGGAAGCATTCTTACAAATCAAGAAATGTCAAAGAAAAATGTCTGGAGGTGTCACCAGACTAGGAAACTGGGTCTAGAAGCATAAGAAAAACAAGATCTTCACCAGAAGAGGAAGTGGATTTTGAGGCCAGGAATAAGGTCAAGGCTGCAGACGCTGCAGGAATAACCACAAAAGAAATTCCAGCCAGGAGGGGCCACCCACGCCTGGGGAGCAGTTAGCGGGTAGATCCACGTTTGAACTGTTCCTCGGGGCCTCTTCTGTGGCATTTGGGAATATCGACTGCAGGACTTTGGACTATTGTGATTTGTCTATTGCAAAACATATGCATACAGCTGTTCGTTTATTTCTAAATAAAACTTGATTTTATTACACTGCAATTATTGAACTTGCAAGGGGAGTTCACACCAGCTTACTACACTATCCCATGGACAGTTTTCTCAAGTTTTGGCTCAGGCCAAAGAACACGATTTTGGAGTTAAAAAAAAAAAACTCTGTCATTTCAACTTTCTAAGCCTAGCTTTCTCTCTTCCAAAATGGGAATATTTCTTATCTCAACACCTTACCAGAGATACATAGTAGACATTGCATAAGTATTAGTTTCCTTCCTGTCTTTATGCCATAAGTATATCTTGCAAGATGATTATAACTTGAAACATTAGCGCATATTAAAGCCATAATAAATGTTTCCTAGAAGAAAGCAAAGGAAATAGCCTGAAACTTCAGAAACATTGAAGGAAACCCAAGAAGGCATTTAGTTACTTTAGTATTGCTCTTTTAAACAGATGACCTATGACACAGAGCCAACTATCTTTCAATTAAGTTCTTTTTGTTTTATGATGCATTCAGTTTTCAAAAAAATCAACTCTAGGAATTAACTTATTTCCTTTCATGAAGAAAACAGTTTTGTAAGCACTATCTATTCTTTTTACTGCCTTTCTCATGCATTATGATCCTTTTATATCTATATCATACATAATTTTAAGTGTTAAAGGTAACTTTAATTGGTATTTTCATTGGCTGATACTTACAACCTTGAAAATCTGATTTTGCTTATATTGACACATATTTCTAACTATCCATTTAGATATTCTCCTAAGGGCTCTTACCACATCAAAAGGATATATAAACAAGTATTCTTTTAAAACAAAACTGAGAATATAGTAATCATGTTACTATCTATATGTATCTCTTAAAATGATGTTGATGTTGTAAAATTCAAATATGCACAGTAAAATTTATTTTTTAAAAATACCGAAAGTGGGAAAAACAACAACCAATACTTTTTTCTTGGTCCTAAAAAAAGCAAACACAAACATATCATTTTTCTATACATGCATTATAAACACCATTACTGGCCAGGTGTGGTGGCTCATGCCTATAATCCCAGCACTTTGAGAGGCTGATACTGGTGGATCACCTGAGGTCAGGAGTTCTAGCCCAGTCTGACCAACATGGAGAAACCCCATCTCTACCAAAAATACAAAAATTAGTTGGGTGTGGTGGCAGGCACCTGCAATCCCAGCTACTTGAGAGGCTAAGGCAGGAGAATTGCTTGAACACGGGAACGGAGGTTGCAGTGAGCCAAGATCGTGCCACTGCATTCCAGCCTCGGTGACAGAGCAAGACTCCCTCTCGAAATAAATAAATAAATGACTACCTTTTACCTTTTCAATATGGTTAACAGACACTAATAAAGTCAGAGGATATTGATTATATATATATATATGTGTGTGTGTGTGTGTGTGTATGGTGTGTGTGTGTGTATGGTGTGTGTGTGTGTGTGTGGGTGTGGGTGTGTGTGTATATGTATAATTTAAAAAGGAAATGTGTATTTCAGGCCCAAGTTATTGTCTGTTCTTCAGTAAATCATTAGTAAATAAGAAAACATACTTCAATCAACAAATATTTACTGAGCTTCTACTATATACCCAGTACTATGTGCTGGGTCCTATAAATCTAGGTGTGACTGAGACCCCTTATTTCTTACTAGTTATATTGTATATTTACGGATGGTAGCATAAATCATATATGCTTTATTTTTTACTGCATTAAACCCATTTACTTCATTAAAGCTTAATATTTATAAATATGAATTTTATCAGAAAAATAAATCAACAAAGAAGCCAGAGGGTTGGGTTAAAATGTTTCTCAGCTGTAACAGCTCCTAGACTGATGGCCAGTAAGCTATCTGGAAGTCATTCTCTTCCTTTAAAATTCAGCCTAGTTATAGAAAGCCCTCTCGCTCCCACAGGGCATATTAGCAACAGCAATTGAGATCAGAGGGTTGGAGGAGTACAGATAGGGTTCATACAAATTGAAGCCATATGTACTAGATGGGATTATTGTCCAAAATTCTTCCCTCCACCCCTTAGCCATGTAAACTGAAAGCTCACTGGAGTGGGTGGGGTGTATTTCTGCCCTCTACTCATGATCCACCCATGTGGCTGGTTCTGGACGGAATATCAGTGAACATGACATACACAAAAGACTTAAACATGCTTGCATCCTTTGGCTCAGCCTCTCGCACCCCTGTGATTGCCATGAAGACAGCATGCACCAGCTAGCTGCTATCCCTTCAGTCTGGGCCCCAGAGTGAGACACACAAACAGTCTTACAGCCGGGTGCAGTGGCTCACACCTTTAATCCCAGCACTTTGGGAGGCTGAGGCGGGTGGATCACGAGGTCAGGGGTTCGAGACCAGCCTGACCAACATGATGAAACCCTGTCTCTACTTAAAAATACAAAAATCAGCCGGGTGTGGTGGCACACAACTGTAATCCTAGCTACTTGGGAGGGTGAGGCAGGAGAACTGCTTGACCCCAGGACGTGGAGGTTGCAGTGCGCCGAGAGCGTGCCATTGCACTCCAGCCTGGGTGACAGAGCAAGACTCTGACTCAAAAAAAAAACAAACAGTCTTACATTTAAACTAAAATCCACCAAGCCAAGATGACCCACAGGCTGAAGCAGAGCTACCCCAGCTGACCCACAGACTGGTAAGAAAAAAAAATGCTTCATGTTGTAAGCTACTGTTTTTTTGAGATTTGGGAGATAAATAGGTAACTAAAACACCACTGTTGGTTAAAATGAACAGCACATTTGTTCACTTGTTCAGGTTGGCAGGTCCACATTACAGCATTCTAATAGTAGGAAGACTTTTATGTATTTTACACAAAGAGACTCTAACAAGTTGCACAATAAGTTTCAGATCCCTATTAGAAGTAATAAACCACACCAATGTAGAGAATTATGAAACACAGGTGGGAGTCAGTAGAAAGTGAAGAAAAGGGCCACAAATGAGTAAAGAAGGTCTAATAGGCTTGCCTGTTGAGTTACTGAGCACTGGCATGTCCCAATGGCATTGACACAACCATCACGCTTGAATTCTTTTCCTGTTAATAACACAAAGCTTCCCTTTTCCATTCATAATTGAAACATGCTTTCATAGGTCAAAGACTTTGGCTTCAGAAATCTAATAAAATGAGACTTTAATTAGATATCAAATGTAATTTGAAAGGCAAGCATGGTGAGTGATGGTCTTCTTTGTTTAAGTTACCAAGGAAAGTACAGAGGCAACGATCATGTAAATTACACACTTGTACCTAGACAAGGTTGAATGCCGTCACAGTGAGCTCTGTGAATGGAGGTGATGCAACCATTCAAGCTGAGAAAAATGATAAAGAAACGATTCATCACATAGCACACACACTACGTGTAGAACACAAAGGCATGCAGAATCAACACGCAACATTTCGCCAACAGCACACTCACACTGGAGGAGAAATGCAGTTTCAGTCAAACATTATCCATGAATGACTTGTTGATTTGAACTTTTCTGCTTTGGTAGTTGTGTTGCGATCCAAGTTTAAGTGTTGTTTCTGTTTTACGGGTGAAATGAGTGTAAGAGGTAAGAAGTGTTGCTTCAGTTAGTATCCGGTTGTTTTGAGTGTTAAAGAGGCCAACACAAACTCACTTTAGCAGGAAAGAAAAAGTATTTATTAATGTAGCAGAAAAGCCTCAGTGTCATGAACTGCTTGACCCAGGAACTCCAAAACTGTAATCCAAATTTGTTTCCTTTTAGTTTCTTGGCACTGCCTTTGACTGCGTCAGCTTCGTTGTTAGCATTCATGTGCTAGCTTCTGTATCCCCAGGTTCACGTCTTCCTTATCACCACAGGTTCCTGTGGAAAAAGAAAAACAAGGCGGGGTGCAGGGTGGCTGAGCCTGTCATCTCAGCACTTTGAGAGGCTGAGGCAGTTGGATTGCTTGAGCCCAGGAATTTGAGAACAGCCTGGGCAACCTAGAAAGATCTTGTCTCTACCCAAAATTTTAAAAATTAGCCAGGTACAGCAGCATGTGTCTGTGGTCCTAGCTACTCGGGAGGCTGAGGTGGGAGGATTGCTTGAGCCTCAGACGTCAAGGCTACACTGAGCCATGATCTTGCCACTGCATACCAGCCTGGGCAAAAGAGAAAGACCCTGTCTCAAAAAAAAAAAAAAAAAAAGAAGGCGGGCAGATCACGAGGTTAAGAGATTGAGAACATCCTGGCCAACATGGTGAAACCTCGTCTCTACTAAAAATACAAAAAAATTAGCTGGGCATGGTGGCGTGCACCTGTAGTCCCAGCTACTTGGGAAGCTGAGGCAGGAGAATTGCTTGAACCTGGGAGGTGGAGGTTGCAGTGAGCCGAGGTTGTGCCACTGCACTCCAGCCTGGCGCCTGGTGATGGAGTGAGACTCTGTCTCGAAAAAAAAAAAAAAAAAGAAGAAAAGAAAAAGAAAAAGTAGATACCATGTAACTGTAATATTCACTCGGAGCCAATCACCATAGCGAGGGCCCCATGCTTCTGTGGCATTATTGCAAGTGTGCACACTGATCATTTTCAACGACAGGTGGGACTAGGGGAAAGGTTCCCAAAAGGAAATTAGTGTCCTATTTGGAAAATAAGATTGATTTTTGGTGAATAAGCAACAACAAGTCTTTTCTATAGCAGGGGTTGGCAAACTATGGTGCATGGGCTAGACTGATCCTACTGCCTATTCCTTTTTTTTTTTTTTTTTTTTTTTTGAGATAGAGTCTTGCTCTTTTGTCAGGCTGGAGTGCAGCGGCATGATATCGGCTCACTGCAACCTCCATCTCCCGGATTCAAGTGATTCCCCTGCCTCAGCCTCCCGAGTAGCTGGGACTACAGGCACCACCACATCCAGCTAATTTCTTGTATTTTAGTAGAGACAGGGTTTTGCCATGGCCAGGATGGTCTTGATATCCTAACCTCATGATCTGCCCATCTCAGCCTCCCAAAGTGTTGGGATTACAGGTGTGAGCCACCACACCTGGCCCCTACTGTCTGTTCTTATACAGCCCACTAATTTTCAGGCTCAAATTGCTATCAGTTAATCAGCAATAATCATTAGTAAATAAGAAAATAATGTATGTCAATCTATAAATATTTATCGTAACATATTAAATTATTTATGGTAAATGAGTCAGTTGGTTAGCAGAAAGTGATGCAATAAAGATTGGGTTTTAGGCCGGGTGCAAAGGATCACACTTGTAATCCCAGCACACTGAGAGGCCAAGTGGGGAGGACTGCTTGAGCCCAGGAGTTCAAGACCATCCTGGGCAACACAGTGAGATTCCATTTATACAAAAAATATAAAAATAAGCCGGGTGTCATGGCATGTGCCTATAGTCTCAGCTACTCAGGAGGCTGAGGTGGGAGGATTGCTTGAGCCCAGGAGGTCAAGGCTGCAGTGAGATGTGATCTCACCACTGTACTCCAGCCTGGATGATGAGAGAGACTGTCTCAAAACAAACAAACATATGAAACAAAACAAAACAAAAAAATCCCCATTCTGAGGCTCCAAGTGGACATGAATATTGGAGGGAGAGACTATTTAACCCACTAGAGCTGGGTTCAACAAAATCATACTCTCAGGAATTTGAAATGGGAGAGTATACATGAGGCAATTAATCGTGGGAGTTGAAGTTTAAAGGATATCCCAGGCCAGACGCGGTGGGTCACGCCTATAATCCCAGCACTTTGGGAGGCCAAGGCAGGCCAATCAGGAGGTCAAGATATCGGGACCATCCTGACCAACATAGTGAAACCCCGTCTCTACTAAAAATACAAAAATTAGCTGGGCATGGTGGCTCTGACCTGTAGTCCCAGCTCGGGAGGCTGAGGCAGGAAAATCACTTGAACCCAGGAGGCAGAGGTTGCAGGAGCCGAGATCATGCCACTGTACTCCAGCCAGGATGACAGAATAAGACTCCGAAGAAATGAAGCTGGCAAGCCACTTTTCAGCCTCAAGCTTTACACAGCTGTCCTTACTTCCTAATATTATTGTGTTGCCTTCTTGTTTCTCACTTTGATATTTAAGATTCAATACACTGTTGTTTGAATGTGTTGGTAACTGCTTTGCTTCCTGAGTTGAGCCACCACCAAGATAGCCCAGCCTGATGAGTGCTCTGTGGACCCACAGCCTCAGCTGTGTGTGACCCCAGAAGCCACAGTGTGCTGTGTATCCAGAACACACTTGGCAGATGGAAGCATCTGAGATTAAGACCATGGCTGTTACAGGGATCATGTAAACTTGCTTTTATTTTTTTCTGCCAGGTGTTGTATGTAGGTAACTTGTGGATTTATGTTTCAGTGTACTGGAAGCTTTCCATTTTATTCAATAAATCTGTTCATGTTATAAACCTTGATTAAACAGGAAGTTTTTATAATCTAAAAAAAAAAAAGATATCCTAGAAGAAGGGAAGGGGCAGGAGGAGCCTGGAACAAACCAAATTTACGAGCAAGATAAAGGTACTAAAAATCAGAAATGGTAGTTAGAGCAGAAGCTTTGAAGAAGGGGAAGGGTGCAGAATAAACCGTAAGGAAGTCAGCTGGGAGCAGAAAGAGAAGCAAAAAGACACTAAGAGGAACAGAGATCAAGAGTATCCGAGCCATGTTAATAATACCACAGCACTCAAGTGACAGTGATAAAGCACTGTCCCTTAGCTACCGTGGAATCGGTCCAGATTCTGAAGATATCTGTTGGTCTTAAGTTTCTTTAAGATTCTGTGTCTCTTTTTGCCAAATATATATTTATAATAATCACTGTTGCTAGGTCTTGCTGAAGGATGTCTCTTTTACTTACAACCTAAAGAGCTTAACAGCTTGACTATATATACATATGTATTTTGAGACGGAGTTTCGCTCTTGCTGCCCAGACTGAAGTGCAATGGTGCGGTTCTCGCCTCACCGCAACCCCCTGCCTCCTGGATTCAAGTGATTCTCCTGCCTCAGCTTTTGAGTAGCTGGGATTACAGGCATGCACCATCATGCATGGCTAATTTTGCATTTTTAGTAGAGACAGGGTTTCTCTATGTTGGTCAGGCTGGTCTCAAACTCCCAACCTTAGGTGATGTGCCTGCCTCGGCCTCCTAAAGTGCTAGGATTACAGGCATGAGGCACTGCGCCCAGCCAGCTTGACTCTATTTAAGAAAATTGTTGAGTAAAATTTATGTGCTGTATGCCCACTGAGGACTCAGTTATTCTAATTAACTTTTTTTTTTTTTTTTGCTACATTTATAAGAAGTCTTGAGTTAACAAACTGCTTTGGGTTATTATAAAAGATAGCTATGTCAGCCAGATTGACCCAAATGATAACTGCAGTCAAAATGCGACTGTCACAGTGAGCACGCCAGGTGTCATCGTCAGTGTTTACTAGGAAGGTTGCAGTAACGACCCCCAAATCACCATGGTTTTAACCAATGAAGGATGGTTTCTCATTCATATTGCTCATCAGTTATGGGCTGATAGCAATTCTTCTCTTGCTCTATGTGTGTTCTTCAGTATCTGAGATGTACCATTCTCAGAGCACAGGGAAAAGAGGAGAGAATTGGCAAAAACACACAAGAACATACAACACTTTTATTTTGACATAATGCAAGTCACATCTGCTCACATGCCATTAGCCAAGACAAGCCACATGGCTAAGACCAGTATCAATGGAGAAGGAATGTGTGGTTTTTCCATAGAAGGCTATATTAGTCTGTTTTCATGCTGCTAATAAAGACTGCCTCTATGATTCAAATTATCTCCCACCAGGTGCCTCCCACAACACACGGGAATTATGGGAGTATAATTCAAGATGAGATTTGGGTGGGGACATAGCTAAACCATATCATTCCACTCCTGGCCCCTCCAAATCTCATGTCCTCACATTTCAAAACCAATCATGCCTTCCCAACAGTCCTTCAAAGTCTTAGCGCATTTCGGCATTAACCCCAAAGTCCACAGTCCAAAGTCTCATCTGAGACAAGATAAGTCCGTTTCACCTATGGCCTGTAAAATCAAAAGCAAGCTAGTTACTTCCTAAATACAATGAGAGTACGGGTATTGGGTAAATACACCCATTCCAAACAAGAGAAATTGGCCAAAACAAAGGGGTTACAGGGCCCATTCAAGTCTGAAATCCAGTGGGGGAGTCAAATTTTAAAGCTCCAAAATGATCTCCTTTGACTCCAGACCTCACATCCAGGTAATACTGATGCAAGAGGTGGGTTCCCATGGTCTTGGGCACCTCCGCCCCAGTGGTTTTACAAGCACAGCCTCCCTCCCAGCTGCTTTCACCAGCTGGCATCAAATGTCTGCAGCTTTTCCAGGTGTACAGTACAAGCTGTTGGTCAATCTACCATTCGGGGATCTGGAGGACAGCGGCCTTCTTCTCACAGCTCCACTAGGTGGTGCCCCAGGAAGGACTCTGTGTGGGGGCTCTGACTGCTTATTTCCCTCTGGACTGCCCTAGCAGAGGCACCCCTGCAGCAAACTTCTGTCTGGGCATCCAGGTGTTTCTATACATTTTCTGTAACCTAGGCAGAGGTTCCCACATCCCAATTCTTGACACACAGGCTCAACACCACATGGAAGCTGCCAAGGCCTGGGGCTTGTACCCTCTGAAGCCATGGCCCACGCTCTATGTTGGCCCCTTTCAGCCACGGCTGGAGCAGCTGGGACACAAGGCACCAAGTCCCTAGGCTGCACGCAGCACAGGGACCCTGGGCCTGGGCCACAAAACAATTTTCTCCCAGGCCTCTGGGCCTGTGATGGGAGGGGCTGCTGTGAAGACCCCTGATATTCCCTAGAAACATTTTCCCCATTGTCTGGGGGATTAACATTTGGCTCCTC